AATTAAATTACAAGAAAAGAATTGTATAAAATAGCAAAAGTAAGCAGATTATAAATTAATAGAAATGTGACGGTCGTACGCAAGCAAAGCTATATGCAGAGTCATTCTTGTTCGGCCGACGGCGCGACGACGCGAGCAGGCACGCATCATCACGAAGCGAGCGCGTGCGACAAGGATGCGCATACGCCCGGCGAGCTACGTAATGCGTGACGTCAGTCATCGCCGCTGGCCCAAAGCGCATAAGCGGAGCGTTTCTTCGTCGAAATGTAGGGCGGTTGCCCAAGTATAAAATTGGAGCGGATAGCTCGCCACAGTACTCCCCCGGCAGACCGTGACTACGGTCGATAAAAATCTGGAAGTCGAACTCTTCTCCCACTGGACGTCCGTTTGGCTTCTTCGTGTGTTTTCTCCGGAATTTGAGCTTCTCGTGTGATGTATGCCGGTTTGAGCCTGTCAATCGATACATTGACGTTCTTCCCTTTGTATTCGATGGAGAAATATTTAGGCTGCCTGCTCACGACCTTGAATGGTCCAGTGTAAGGTGGCTCCAGTGCTCCTCTAACACAATCTTGGCGGAGAAAGACATGGGTGGCAGTGTGAAGATCGCGTGGCACGTAGAATGAAGCCGTGGAATGCCAAGAAGTTGGACGTGGTAAGAGCTTCGCCATGTACGCGCGAAGTCGTGTCGCGTACTGGGTGACATCAGCAGTCAGGTAGTCGTCCTTCGGAGACAGGAATTGGCCAGGCAAGCGAAGTGGCTCGCCGTAGACCAACTCAGCAGGGGATGATTGGAGGTCATCTTTCCAAGCGCCGCGCATGCCCAAAAGCACCAGTGGAAGAGCTTCAGTCCACTGAGAAGAAGAAGCATGGCACATTATAGCCGCCTTGAGTTGGCGGTGTAGTCGCTCGACGATGCCATTGGCTGCTGGGTGATAGGCAGTCGTGCGCAGGTGGCGCGCACCAACCAGTGCGGTGAGGGCTTCGAAGAGGTGGCATTCGAACTGACGACCACGGTCTGTAGTCACCCGCTCAGGACAGCCGAATCTGGCGATCCAGCCAGACACGAGGGCAGCAGCACAGGTCTCCGCAGTGATGTCCTTAAGTGGATATGCCTCAGGCCATCGCGTGAACCTGTCGATGACTGTGAGACAGTACCTGTAATCATAAGACAGAGGTAAAGGCCCTATGATGTCGAGGTGTATATGGGAGAACCTCGAGGAAGGTGGAAGGAAAGGGGAAAGGGGAGAGAATGTATGGCGGGAAACCTTGCATTTCTGGCACTGCAAGCATTGCCTAGCCCACTCTCTACAATCTTTACGAATCCCTGGCCAAACAAATCTTTGTGTTACCAGTCGTACAGTAGCTGAACTTCCTGGGTGATGTAAGTTGTGCAGCATATCAAAGACTTGCTTGCGGAACTCGGGCGTGATGTACGGACGTGGCGTAGGACCGGAAATGTCGCAATATACCGGTATTACGCTGGATACAGTGGGCACTTTTGACAGTTTTAATGTTGAACCACGTTCGATCAGCTCCTGCAGCTCCGGGTCTTCCTCCTGAGTCCGTGCAAGAGACTGGTAGTCGATGGTCGTACCTAATGTAGTCACCTCCTCCACTCGCGACAAAGCATCAGCGACGACATTTTCTCGCCCAGGTAGGTACCGTACGTCAGTGGTGAACTGAGAAATGAAGTCGAGGTACCGAAACTGTCTAGGCGAACATTTATCTCTGTTGAGTGAGAAGGCAAAAGTAAGGGGTTTGTGGTCCGTAAACACCACGAAAGTTCTCGCTTCAACCATATGGCGAAAGTATTTGATGGCTTCGTATACCGCTAGTAACTCTCTGTCGTATGGGCTATACTTCTTTTGTGAAGCACTCAGTTTCCGAGAGAAGAAAGCCAATGGTTGCCAGTCCTTGTCAATACGTTGCTGTAGCACGGCTCCTATAGCCATATCCGAGGCATCCGTGACTATGGCAAGTTTGGCAGATGGGTCTGGATGTGACAGCAGAGTAGCTTGAGAGAGGGATTCCTTACACTCGTTGAAGGATTTCAGCCTATCCGATGTCATCTCAACCGGATGCGAACCTTTGATGCGAGGGCCGGCAAGAATGTCCGTTAGCGGCGCCTGAATCTGAGCGGCGTTAGGTATGAAGCGACGGTAAAAATTCAACATACCTAGGAATCGTTGAAGTTCCTTGACTGTTCGTGGCGGTGGAAAGCTCTGGATAGCCTCAACCTTTGTCTCCAAAGGTTTCGTACCAGCTGCCGAAACTTGATAGCCAAGAAACGTAACCTCGTGCTGTCCCAGTTTGCATTTTGAAGTGTTGACCAAGATGCTATACTGCTTCAGACGATCAAAGAGCTGCCGTAGGTGAACCTTATGTTGGGCTGGAGTGGGGGAAAATACCAAAATGTCGTCCAAATACCCATAGCAGAAATCAAGCCCCAGAAGGACTTCGTCGACGAATCGCTGGAAGGTCTGTGCAGCATTCCTCAGACCAAAAGTCATGTACGGAAATTCGTACATACCGAAAGGTGTAGTGATGGCCGTCTTGGGTATATCCGCAGGATTTACGGCGATTTGGTTATACGCCTTCACGAGATCGATGGTGGAGAAGATAGAACACCCAGAGAGCTGGTAAGAGAAATCGTGAATATGACGGATGGGATACCGATCTGGAATCGTCCTGGCGTTGAGTGCACGGTAGTCACCGCACGGTCGCCATCGTCCTTCTTCTTCACCAGATGCAGAGCAGAAGACCAAGGATTCTCTGAGCGTCTCGCTGTACCACAAGCTAGCATGTCCTCGAATTCCTTCTTCGCGGCCAAAGTGCGAACTGGATCAAGTCGTCGAGGCTTGCAGGAAACGGGTGGACCAGGCGTCGTTCTAATGAAATGCAGCGTATTGTGCCTAGGTGGACAATGAACACCTGCAGGTCTCGTGATTTCAGGGTACTCACGCAATATGTCGTAGAACTCAGACTTGCCAGAAACGACCTTGACAGAAGCGATGTCATCTGAGCAATGGATAGTGGTCGCTGCTACTGAGAGGGTCGTGACACCATCCACTAAGCGCTGGTTCCTGCAATCCACAAGCAAATTAAAGTGGCTCAAAAAATCAACCCCAATTATAGGTTTAGAGACGTCTGCTATTGTGAAGTTCCAAGTAAAATCTCGCCTGAGTCCCAAATTTAAGTGTAAAAGCACAGGTCCATAAGTATGTATGATGGAGTTGTTCGCTGCGACGAGATCATACTTGGACTTGATGCAGGGCGTCTTGATAGCAGATCGCGGAAAAACACATAGGTCTGAGCCAGTATCCACTAGGAACTGCATTTTTGTTGCGCGATCGGTGACGAAAAGACGGCCTGTTGATGAAGGGCAGTCATGGGCCGCTACTTCCGACCGCCCTGAGAGTTTTCCGAGTGGAAACTGCATGGCTTCCTACACTTATTTGCCTTTGCCCCATAAGTATAATGGTAAAAGCAGTGTGGGTGGTCAGGTGGTGGCTGTGGTGGTCGGGAACGGCTGCGAGAGCGATTGTAACTCCTGGAGTGCTGACGAGACCTGGAGCGTGATCGTTCTGCCTTCTCCAATCGAGTGGTTAGCATAGCTACCTGCTTCGTCAGCTGAGATATTTGGAGTGCCATCTCGTTTAGAGGAGTTGTAGGTAAAACCGCAGAAGTACTGGCCACCTGAGGTGTCGATGGTGCTATCTCATGGATCTTGTCGGCTAGCTCACCTAGTTTATCGATGTGCAAGTCCATTTGAGATGCGGTCACAGTTTGAATATTCTGTGGCAACCTGCTAGACCACAGCGTGACGATGAAGTCAGACGGCACTGATGGACCTGCCAGACCGGATAGATGGCGCAGGAACTGTGAGGGCTTCCGATCACCGAGCTCTTCGTGCATAAGAAGCTGCTTAACACGCTTTTCCTGCGAAGCTGAGAGGCGTTTAATTAGCTCCTGTTTAAGCTTGTCATATTTGTTTGTGGCGGGAGGGTTGGTAATTACGTCTTTTACCTCGACCGCATACCGATGGTCCAATTGTGCAACGAGGTAAAAAAATTTAGTTTCATCGCTGGTTATCTTTGACAAGGCAAATTGTGATTCAACCTGTGCGAACCATAAAGCAGGCTCTTCTGGCCAAAAAGGTGGTACTCTAACACCTACTCGTAAAACTTCCTCTTTGCACTCGAAAAAATCTTCACTGTGACTCATCGTTGAAAAAAAATTTAAAAATCGCTCACCGTTTTTTTTTTAAACCACCGACCGTTTTATCCAATATCTTCCGTGGAACAATCCTCCTTCTCAAAATAGGTTTTTCCTCGTGTTCTGCAGGGGTTGCGTGTTCCGATCACGTCGGGGTCACCAGATGTAGGATATTATATGAAGTAATCCCACATAAATTTCGGGAGTCGAACCCGATAAGAATGTTCAATTTAACAGCACAAACAACACAGTTCACGAGAAGGAAAAGAAGCACAAGCACTAAGAATGAAGGATATATTATTTACACACAGATTAGAATTAAATTACAAGAAAAGAATTGTATAAAATAGCAAAAGTAAGCAGATTATAAATTAATAGAAATGTGACGGTCGTACGCAAGCAAAGCTATATGCAGAGTCATTCTTGTTCGGCCGACGGCGCGACGACGCGAGCAGGCACGCATCATCACGAAGCGAGCGCGTGCGACAAGGATGCGCATACGCCCGGCGAGCTACGTAATGCGTGACGTCAGTCATCGCCGCTGGCCCAAAGCGCATAAGCGGAGCGTTTCTTCGTCGAAATGTAGGGCGGTTGCCCAAGTATAAAATTGGAGCGGATAGCTCGCCACACGTTTACTATTCAATTTTTGTCATTGTAATTATATCCGTGTCCTAATATGAATCGATATACAAATAAACAGTTCCCTAGGGACCGCGAAGCTGCTGGCTTGAAGCTAGTATATGTTTGTTCTATTTTATTGATTGGGATTACATATTATTGTTCAGGTGCTGACACGCGATAACATCGAAGCTATTATAAAGTATGCACACAAGAACAAGTTGTTCATCTTCGCTGATGAAGTGTACCAGGACAATGTTTACGCGAAAGGGAGCCAGTTCTTCTCCTTTAAAAAGGTCAGTATTTAAATTTTGTATACATTTATTCGTTTTATTTTAAAATTGTTTATATTAAAAGTGTATAAATAAAGAAGTTTGAGTTACAGATGGGACTCGAACCCATGACCTTTCGCAATCTCTATTTTGTATCTACAATCTTAATTGTTTTTATTGAGGGAACGGGTATCAAGTATTAAAAAATTACATTCGTACTCGAAGATTTTGCACATACATACAAAATAAAATCATCAAATTGGAACAGACACAGTAGGCCCACTGTGTACACAAATGAAAATTTTAATAATTCTTATAATTTTTAAAGGTTATTAATGGGTCCTTCAGGGTCTCAATATTAGCGTTACGAAAATAGACGTCATTTCGTTTTTGAGAAAATATAGTGGGTTGTTTTATAAAAGAAATAAAAAGATTGTAATTTATACGTGATTGTATATTTGTATGCGTGTATGCAGGTATTGCGTGAAATGGGCGGGGAGTACAGTAGTGGTGTGGAGTTGGCATCGTTCATGTCGGTGAGCAAAGGGTATGCGGGCGAGTGTGGACTCAGAGGAGGGTGGATGGAACTCGTCAACGTGGATCCTGATGTGCAGGCCCAGCTGTACAAGGCAATCTCCGCTATGCTCTGCCCCACCTCGCTCGGACAGACAACCGTTTCGTGCGTGGTCAGTATACTGATTCGTCATGTTAAAGTTTTGTTATACTAATTATTGTTTATAGGGAATACATAATTTTCACATATCTAAATCGGTTGAATCTGCAGTTAGCATTCAACTTCTTTGTTTCTTTTAAAGACATTTGCGGCTAACGCTTCCTTTTGACGATTGCAATTAACGTTATCGTTCATTCAATAACTTTAAAAGGTCGCTTTCATGTGTCAAATAGTTGTAGCGTGAAGTTCGTTCGTTACTGATTTATGTCAAATTGAAATTGATTGCGATAGATTTTAAAATAAGACAATTAGTAATGAACATAGTGATTCTGATTATGAGCCTTAAAATCGCACAATTACCTTAAAATTAAAAGCCAAGCTTTGTTGTTTGTGTGTGACACACATGACTGCAACACGACCCGCCATTGTGTGACGTCACTGTGCCGACAGGTGCCAGATTAGTTAAGATATGCCTATTAATAGGGATGACGACTGGGTAAAAAAATGTAATTCTATTTAATCAGTCAAATAATAGAAAAATATTAGAAACGTTTTTTTTTTTTACTTCAATTTAACAAGAAATAGCTTAGATAACAGGTATTAAAGTTGAGGAGTGGGGGCGTGCTACGTCACAGTTTAGTAGAAAACGTACCATAACGTGACGTCATGCGAAATTTCAACTCCATGTAACGCCGTAATTTTATGTTTACGAAAAAAATAAAAAAAATATGTGTTTAATATTTTTTAACACTACCTGACGGACAAACAAACTTTAGTCGTCATCCCTATTATAAATCAAATTCCTAGATGGCGCTGTTCTTAGCTTATTTATATCTTTTTATTTCATAAGTGCACTGTTCTTGTTTTACTGTCATTTTTATATGATTTCATTTTAAAGCAAAAAAACATGTTTATTATTTTGCAGGATTATTTGTTTTATGGCTTTTTTAATTGAAATAAATACTTACAAGTATTATTTCAAATAGTAGAATATCCTATTATCAAGTTGCCGTGTATTTTGTAATAGGCGGCACCACCGGTGAAAGGTGATCCATCATATGATCAGTGGTTGAAGGAGAAGACTGCCGTCTTGCAGTCATTGAATGCGCGAGCTGACATGATCGCCAAGACTTTCAACAGCATGGAGGGATTCACCTGCAATCCTGTGCAGGTATACCACTTCTTCATCATTATCAGCCCTTTTACGTCCCCACTGCAGGGGCTCAGGCCTTCCTTATGGATGGTTAAGGAGGATGGGCCATGACCCTCCACGCGGGCCCAATGCGGATTGGAGGGTATTAACGACTGCAAATGCAGCCGGGACCAACGGCTTAACATGCCTTCCGAAGCACGGAGTAGCTCGAGATAATAATTTTTTGATCACCCATCCCGTGATCGACCCTTGTGAAAATTGCTTAACGACAACGAGCGCAGGCCGCGGCGCTTATCCACTACGCCGCCGAGCTACCCACTTCTTCACTTCTAATATTTATGCCAGGTGTTGCTACATTACGTACATATACTCAGATTATTTATTACATGGATTAAACTGACAGATCAATTCAGCTTTTTTGGGTTCCACACCCAAAGGGTAAAACGGGCACCCTATTCGCTGTCTGTCTGTTTGTCACCAGTTTGTATCTCATTAACCGTGAAAGTTAGACATTTTTTAACAGATGATATATGTCTGTTGTCGGGTCAACGAGAGTCAACAACAAATACTAAAAACCAGAATAAAACAAATATTTAAGTGGGCTCCCATACAACAAACGTGATTTCTTTGTTCGTTTCCGGTACGAAACCATTCGTGTGCGAATCCTAGTCCGATTTGGCCGGTTTTTTTCTTTTCATGTTCCAAGCCTTCGTCGTAGTATTACTATAAATGATTTTTTTATCCGTTTTGAAATATAACATATTAAGATTATTATTCAACAGACTAAAAATAATCCCGCCCAAGTGAGAATTTTGCTAAAAAAATATAGTATTACAAACACACAAAATTGCGTTTTTCTAACCATTAAAAAAAGTCTTATATTTTAAATTTATTTCCTAAAATTTTCTAACTTTGAATTAGAAAAAAGTGTATGAAATGTGAACGAACAAAAATCCTTTTAACATTTCCTATAACTAAGATCACTACACTGAAGGAAATGTACATTTTGTATGAACACAATGTCACAGGAAACGAATGGACCAAAGACAGTTACTTTCGTTCCTTTTAACTAACATAATAAAAAACTGAAATTCGAAAAGTTCGAAGCTTAGATATCAATACAAATAATACGAGTTGTTTATTGGAAAAAAAACCGGAAAGGTTGTGATGGAGAAATCAAGAACGTACCGTCTAGCGACATCTAGTTTGATTTCGAGAACTAATGTCTTTTTTTTAAATACTTCCTCATTCATTCAGAACTGTACTTACAATGCTAAAAACCAAATTGAGAAATTGTATAGTTTTGTATAACTTGACGTGTTGTTGACTATACATATCCTTCTGCATCTCGTTATTGTTTGTCTGTCTCAACCATGCCTTTATCACTTATAGATTCAATAACAGCCATTTATCAAAATTCCGAGATTTACGAACCTACCGTTTTGTTGGCAAATTTGATTCTTGTTTGTATTTTTGAATACTGTAACTATACCAAAGTAATATTCATATGACAGGGTGCGATGTACGCGTTCCCTCGTTTCGAGTTGCCGCAAAAAGCGATAGATGCGGCTAAAGCTGCCAAACAACCACCGGATGTGTTCTACGCGTTTAAACTGTTGGAGGAAACAGGTTAGTATAGTGTCTTATACACGAACAATGCTTTTAATATACAAGGTTAAGCGACAGAGTAAATTGACGTAAAATTGCAATTTTGGTATTGGTTCAAATTCATATAATACAGAAAAAAAGAAATCTACCTTCTAAGAGTAAATATTAGTCCCGTGGAACGTCGTACTAGGTTAACCTTTGCCAAGTCTCCGTTTAGTAATATGAATTTTGATTAATACTAAGTGCAGTCTTAGTATAAATTTACGCCAACGCTTAACCTTGTTTATTAATTACACTGATAGGCACTTGTGATATCTTTATACCAGTGTAAAAACTCACAGGGGTCCAACGCCTTTGAAGTTGTGATAAATGTCACTTTTTGTCTTGCTATTAATAATTGATGCAGGATAATTATTATTTATAAAAAGAAATATGAGTCTCTTATTGTAACTTGGTATGGAATAGACCATATAACAATAATATAATGACAAAATACACGCTTTTAAAAATGTATCCGAAGCCAGTGTATGGCAGCTTGCTGTCTGCCACGCCCCTCTTATCGCGAGCACCCCTCACAATCCGCAAGTTGACTAGACGAAAAAGAATATATTACTACGTAATTCGTAATTACAAAGTTATAGTGATTCTTTTTTCTCTTATACTCTTGTCAGAGCAGTAGTATGTCAGCAGTTTGGTCAGGCATGATGTTGGAGGCATTTATATGTGGCATTAAAGCACTCCGCTTGTCCTGAACAGCGGCTTGGTGGGCATTGTCGGTCGATACCTTTATCTGGTCGGTCCAGCGCAATGGACAACTTCGAGACCTGACTGCATTTACTCTGCCCTGTACCACCAATCGCTTCATGGTTCTCACGATGTATCTCACATAGCCAAATTATTAGGAAGAATCTCAAAAATATTTGATTAATTTTTTAATTAATATTTTTTTTAAATTATTTTCTCATTTAGAAATTATGGTTATAATAATGATAAATAATAAATTGAGGTCAGGATTTATTCTCCATAAAATTAGCATTAAAAATCGACTTACAATTAATCTCGACATTTTCAAACATGTACAAGAGAATATAATTACAAATAATAACATATAAATAGTACTTTAAATACATATAACAAATTCGACGCGATTTTAATCAACTCAAATATATTTTCAAAGTGTACCCATATACCTAGTTGGCTGTCATAATATGCGGTCAGTTTGAACAGTTACGTCACAGGTCGAATAGCAGGGTTTTTGTATTAAATTTTATTGTCGGCAAAAAGGCGCAACGGGCTCGTGTGAGCTTACAGTTCATGTTTGGTATTGGATTCTATTCGGTGTATGAATGTGTGTGCAGGTATCTGCGTGGTGCCCGGTTCTGGGTTCGGTCAACGTCCAGGCACCTTCCACTTCCGCACCACCATCCTACCACAGCCTGCACTGCTGCAGGAGATGCTTGAGATCTTCCAGCAGTTCCACAAGAAGTTCACGCAGCAGTACAAGTAGAATATATGCAGACTGAATACGTCATCATAGTGACTTCGTTTAACGATTAAATAAAATAAAAAATAGAAAACATTAAATATTAGACGATGTTCAAATATACTGTTCAGTTCTCGAGTAGCTTAGCTTTTATAGAAATCTATTGTAATAAAGGACCGCACCTCGCCAGATCCGAGAGCGAAGTAGAAAATTTAATTTTATTTTAAAAGGCTTTAAATACAATTTTATTGTTATTCATTATAATATATGAAACTCGAATATTTTGGGATATTGACGAGTTTCGATTAACAAGTAAAGTTTTTTAAAACAAGTTCATTGTGTTCAAAGTCAATAATAATCCTACTTAATCGATAAAACTATTAACTAGATGTGGTTGAGACTTTTAAAATGAAAGCTTAATTTAAAAACAAATTTGTACTGAAAAGAAATAAGCTGGAAAGTGCATGTTAGTAACTGACAATATAATACTGAAGATGTGGCTGTATGATACTTTGCTACTGTCAGTATTTGCATAACTCAATAAGTTCTATATCAGCATTTCAATACTCCTATGAATAAGGCATCACTTTAATACTGTTTTATTATCAGACGAGATAGTTTATTTTATTCGTTTTAAATTATGTCTATCTAAACAGTTATCTATATTTTGTATTTTATATTTTGTTCATAAAACTTTTTTTTAATAAATTGGTCTCTAGTCTTGGCTGTGCCATTGTGAACATTTAAGGTGCATTAAATATTTCAATATAACTTGAATAATACTAAGTGTTTGATTATGTATAAATTAAAAAGACTTAGAAAAGTAAATTAATTATGGTATTGAAAAGTAAATGGATTGTCAATGATATTGTGATGTAAATATGATAACAGACGATAATATTCGTTCTTGCATCTTTATCACTCTATAAAAATGATTAGAAAATATGTTTTTATGTATCCATAAAACAATATAAGGGGGTTGCATATATTAAAGGACCGGTGGTTAAAGAGAGCGAATTTAATTAGATTTATGTCATTGTAAAATTTTGTGAACATAGTGTTGTTAATAATCGACAGCGCATCAGTTTACTGCATAATTTTTCCAATCGATTTAAAGTGTTAATTTGTCGAGAGCTAGGTTCAAAATTCAATGCAGAAATGTGACTTTTTGCGGTAAGCTGATATGCCCCTGTGTGTACAATGCCAGAATACAGATGGATTATATTATTTTAAGAACTGTTTCACATCTAAATATTTTTTAAAGATGCAATCTTATAATCGTGAGATAATTATTGTTGTAATATAACAACATCGGATAATATATTCAGTGTGTGTAACTTGTCAAATAAAGAAAAAAAAACTGTTGAATTGCATTACATAAAAAAGAGTTATTACTCAAAATACAAATAAAAACGGTTGATTTCCACACGACTTATCATTTAAACTTTATTTTTAGCGTATTGTGACTAATTTTTTTCTCGAATACACTGTTACAAGATTTTAGATATATATTTGAACAAAGCAAACAATACAAAAGATTGTAATGCATTTGGCGACAATACGAGTATGTTCTGTTTTGTACAAGTGTGTTTGTTCATATCCTTGTTACTTGAGTAGCCACAGGGAATGAATAGGCGCTACAACGCGGTACTGAACGAAAAAAAAAAACAATTTTGTCATAGTAAAGCGCAATTGTACATACGCGCGAGCGCAATAGCTATATGTTTGCGCATGACTAAGAAATATGTAGAAATTGTCTGTTCGGCGACCGTTCTATATAAGTACTTTCAAACCACTTTTCATTGAACACCAGAAATAAAAGTACCAAAATGCAGGCAGGGTCGGCACATGTCTGACTAAAGATCCTACGAGTCTCACTAAAGAATGTCTATATGCGATGATGCAAGCTTGAACACTGTCATATTTGTCCGTTATAACGTTTGCGAAATAAACTACATATATGCACAATATTAAATTATAAAAGTTTCAAATTATAACAATGTAAAAAATAACTCCATTAACTATTAAGAGTTGTATTAATACTATCACTGTGAGATGAAAGTTTTTTATTTCGGTTTTTGGTACATACAAGATGAAAAGTGTTGGTAAATAATAATTTGTTACTGCGTGTTTTGGGCATTCCTTAAGATAGGAATCTAATGTTAGTGGAGGCGTTGAACGTTGTTATTATTTAAATAAAGCAATGTTATCATTCACTTTGGTTATTTTATTTCGGCCGCTAAACTCTCGAGTTCCTATCCACTAATGTAAACGCATTGAAGTCTGCTGTTTGTTAAGCTTTGAAGATTATCATTTACTATATAATAGTAGAACTACTGTTGTATGCGTATAGAATAAAATGTAGATACTACTACAGACTATTTCTTGTGGCTTTTTTAAATGTAATGAACGAAAAGTTAATTGGTGAGGGCCTTAGTTTCCATTAAAAATATTTTTGATTATTTTAGTTCTCATCGCCAGTCTACTAATGTCCTCAATGCTCGGACTCAGGCCGTCTCTATGGATGGAATCGAATCGCAAAGGAAGAATGAGCCATGACCCAAAAAGGGTGCCCAGTGCGGATTGGTGGGTATTAGCGATTTTAGATGCAGCCGGGGCCAACGGTTTAACGTGCCTTTCGAAGCACGGAGATGTTCGAGATTATACATTTTTGGACACCCATCCTGTGACCGTCCATTGCGAGAGATCCTTAACAACCGCACACCGAGCACACTAGCCTTTCCGCTATCGAGTTCATCCTTCTGCTTCTAC